GGCACCAACGTGCCCAGCTCGGCGCACGCTGCTCAGCAGCGGCTGGAGGACGAGCAGTAGCTGACAATGCAGCTAAGGGTCGGCCGGCAGCGGCTGCCAACCATCAGAACGCCAAGCCCATGCAGGCAGAGGCACGAGCTGCCAATTAAGGAGGAAGGGGGGGAGAGGGAGGGAGGAGAGGGAGGGGGGGGGGAGAGGAGGGAGGCTGCCAATTAAGGAGGAGAGGGAGGGGAGGGAGGCTGCCACTTGAGGAGGAAGGGGGAGAGGGAGGGAGCAGAGAGAGAGGGGCGGACGGAGGGGAGAAGAACCGCTCCGCATAAAAAACAGGAGCGTGGTCAAACCAGCCCCCGAGAAAAATCGACGGGCTGGCATCCCCTAGGTGGATAGGGCGACACGCCGGCGTCCACCCTCAGGGGCCGAGCCCAGGGCAGGCGCCCTCCCACGAGCCGTCGGCCACGCGGCGGGGACAGCCACAGGCCTGCCAGCCTGGACTGGCCAAGCGGCACCCCGCGTCCCGGGCGGAAAGAGGCAGAGGAGGGCAGGCAGAGGCCGCTTGGCCGATAACTCGTGGCCGATGGCTCGTGGGAGGGCGCTTGCAATCAGCGTCAACGCCATAAGCATCAACAACAGCATCATCATCATCATCATCATCATCATCATCATCATCATCATCATCATCATCATCATCATCATCATCATCATCAGCCTCCTACTCATCAACATCTGCATCAATATCATCATCATCATCATCACCATCATCATCAGCATCATCATCATCATCAGCATCATCATCATCATCATCATCATCATCATCATCATCATCATCATCATCATCATCATCATTATCATCTTCACCATCATCATCCTCATCCTCATCCGCATCATCATGTTCATCATCATCCTCCTCCTCATCATAATCGTCATCGTCATCGTCATCATCGCCATCATCATCATCATCATCATCATCATCAGCATCATCATCATCATCATCATCATCATCATCTTCATCATCATCTTCATCATCATCATCATCATCATCATCATCATCATCATCATCATCATCATCATCATCATCATCATCATTGTATTCTTCTTCATCATCATCAGCATCGTCCGCATCCTCCATATCAGCATCATCAGCATCTTCATCATCATCCTCACCTTCACATGCACCATCCTTGTCCTCCTCATCTTCATTAGTATCATCATCAGCATTTTCATCAGCATAAGCATCCTGAGCCTCATCCTCAACATCATCCTCATAATCACTATGAACCTGCTCATCATCAGCATATTCATCATCAGCATCATCATCTTGATCAGCATCAGCATCCTCATCCTCATCGGCATCATCATCCTCATCATCATCATCATCATCATCATCAACAACGTCATCATCAGCATCAGCAGCAGCATTATCATCATCATCATCATCATCATCATCATCATCAGCATCATCATCATCATAATCATCGTCATCATCAGCATCATCATCATAACCACCCTCATCAGCATCAGCATCATCATCCTCATCAACACCTCGTCCTCATCATCGCCACCATCATCAACAGCATCAGCATCATCATCAGCATCTTCATCGTCGTCATCCTCATCATCATCACCATCATCATCGACATTAACATCATCATCATCAGAATCCATCATCGTCATCCTCATCGTCATCATCAGCATTATCATCGTTATCACCATCACAGTCACCATCACCATCATCGTCATCATCAGCATCCCTCATCGTCATCCTCATCGTCATCATCATCATCATCATCATCATCATCGTCGTCATCGTCATCGTCATCAGCATCGACATCGTCGTCACCGTCCTCGTCGTCGTCGTATTCGTCATCGTCGGCGGCGGCAGCGCCGTCGGCATCATCGTCGTCGGCGTCGTCAGCATCGGCGTCGTCAGCGTCGTCGTCGTCCACGCCCTCGCCCTCGCCCGCGTCCTTATCTTCTCCCTCACCCGCCAAGAACACCACAGCCCTCGGCCCCTCGCAGAAGGCAGTCGCTGCCACTCCTCCTCTGCAGCTCGCGAACCCCTTTGACGCCCTCTTCTTTGGGGGTCGGCGGAATGGCTAAGACGAAGCCAGGGCAGGGACAGATTCGACAAGCATAAATCGAGACCCTCGGAGATCCAGCGGCTCTGGAATATATATATATATATATATATATATATATCGCGCTGCGGCCTTCTCAGGGCGATCCAGAACGCTCTGCGAATTCTGGAGTGGAACGGACTTGTCCTAGTCGCAGCCCCGTCCGAAAGCCTCTTTGAGCATGAGAGCACTCTGTGCGCACGCGTCGTGGCCTCTTGGAGACGAGGAGACGAAGAATGAAACGAAGCCAGGACGAGCATAAAATCGAGTGGGGATAAATCGAGGACCTCTGAGATCTGGCGGATCTGAAAGTATCTCGGGCGCCGCGGCCTGCTCGGAGCCTTCAGGAAGGCTCTGAGTGCGAGCCGGAACGCTCTGGAACATCTTTCTTCCTCGTCCTAGCCCCCTCCGAAGAGCACTCTGTGCAAGTATCGGACTGATTCCACCTGGAAGGAAGACCCATCCAGAACGCTCCAGAACGGACTAATCCTCGTCCTAGCCCCGTCCGAAGAGCACTCTTTACGCATGCGTTGTGGCCTCTTGGAAACGCGGGGGCGACGAACCGACAGCATCTAACTGATTTCAACGGGAAGGACATCTGATCTGGAACAAGTGAAAGCTGATCCAGGCGGGCGGAAAGCAGATTTACCGCAACTCCGATCGGAAAAGAAAGCGGATCCGCGCACCTGAATCGGATCCACCAAGACTCCACTGAACAGGATAGGCCTTCAGAGCGTCTCCCAGGAAAAATGGAAACGAATTATTTTACGGCTGCCCTATTGACGGACTGGAGTACCACGATGAATGGAAAAGTATGTATCCGCGGCACCCACCGCACCACAACGACGACGACGAGACGAAGGAGGAGATTGTGAGAAACGCCATCGGCGAAGAATGTGTCGATCTATATTGCAACCCCCCTACCAACGTGCTCACCATTCCTCTGTCGTGCAGGGTAGCCCAGGAAGCATTATTCCCTCGGAGAGACAACGAGAAACAGCCCCCCAACTTCATCAAAATAATCTCCGCCGCGACGACGACGACGACGAAGACGACTACGACGACGATCACGACTACGATTCACGAGGAGGAGGAGGAGGAGGAGGAGGAGGAGGAGGAGGAGGAGGATGGGCGGAGTTTGTTCCCCGCCGAGAGAAACAGGGGGGGAGACCCAAAACTAATGAAATGTAGCGGTTGACACATGTCGCTGTCGCATCTCAAGCCGTCCATTCCGGGCCCTACAGGAGAAAAGTTCGTCCTCGGGATAGAGTCAGCTCTGGCAGCGTTGAGACCCCCCTCATGGGCAAAGCGGATGTCAGGCTCGGGCATCCGAGCCCAAGCCAGAGAGAGAGAGACAACTGCACTTGTGCACTGTGTCCTTGACTGCGGGGAACCAACATGAGCCCGGCGCTGCTGCCCTACGCTGCTCTGGAGTCATATTGCTCACAGGGGGCAGCTACGCTCAGGCGTGCTTGCAAGAGCAAGGGCCTCTGGCCCCTCTTGGACTCTCTTGGAATATCCCCTGGCATCCTCCAGTATGATTTTTCAATCCGCGGCCCCAGAGATCCCGCGCCCTTTTACAAGGGTAGTTTCGCGCCGCGGATCCGTTTTTGATAGGGCCTCTGGCCCCTCTTGGACTCTCTTGGAATATCCCCTGGCATCCTCCAGTATGATTTTTCAATCCGCGGCCCCAGAGATCCCGCGCCCTTTTACAAGGGTAGTTTCGCGCCGCGGATCCTCCTCCTCCTCCTCCTCCTCCTTATCCTCCTCCTCCCTCTACTCCTCCTCATCCTCCTCCCTTCCTCCTCCTCCTCCTCTCCTTCGACTCCTCCTCCTCCTCCTCCTCCTCCTCCCTCCTCCTCCTCCCTCCTCCTACTCCTCCCCCTCCTCCTTCCCCTCCTCCTCCTCCTCCTCCCTCCTCCTACTCCTCCCCCCCCCCTCCTCCTACTCCTCCTCCTCGACCCTCCTCCTCCTTCTCCCTCCTCCTCTTCCTCCTCCTCGTCCTCCTCGTCCTCCTCGTCCTCCTCCTCATCATAATCATCAGCATCAGCATCATCAGCCATCATCATCAGCCATCATCATCATCATCATCATCATCATCATCATCATCATCATCATCATCATCATCATCATCATCATCATCATCATCATCATCATAATCATCATCATCATCATCATCATCATCATCATCATCATCATCATCAGTATCATCATCATCATCATCATCATCAGCAGCAGCAGCATCAGCATCAGCATCAGCATCAGCATCAGAACCATCATCATCATCATCATCATCATCAGCATCATCAGCCATCATCATCATCCTCATCAGCATCATCATCATCATCAGCAGCATCATCATCAGCAGCAGCATCAGCCATCATCCTCATCCTCATCATCGGCATCACCATCATCATCATCATCATCATCATCATCATCAGAATCATCATCATCATCATCATCATCATCATCATCATCATCATCAGCATCAGCATCAGCATCAGCATCATCATCATCAGCCATAATCCCCATCCTCATCATCGACATCATCGACATCATCATCAGCAGCAGCGTCATCATCATCATCGTCGTCATGATCATCATCAGCAGCAGCATCATCATAATCATCATCAACAGCATCATCATCATCAGCATCAGCATCATCAGCATCATCAGCATCATCATCAGCATCATCATCATCATCATCATCATATCTCGCCTCCTCCTCATCCAACTGCTCCTCCTCCTCCTCCTCCTCCGCATCCTCCCCCTCCTCCTTCTCCCCCCTCCTCGTTCTCCCCCCTCTTCCTGCTCCTCCTCCTCCTCCTCCTCCTCCTCCTCCTCCTCCTCCTCCTCCCCCTCCCCCTCCCCCGGCCGCCCTGGGTCCCCGTCGGGCATTGCCTGGAACAGGGGCACCCGCCTCAGCATCGCCGAGCACCTCGTGTGCTGGCCGGGGCTGCGTGGAGGCGCCGGCAGCGGCTGACGCACGCCCGCGCCGGCGCTGCCCCCCCCAGCTCCCAGCCCAGACTTGGAAGCGGCTGAGGTCTGAACTAACCAGCCTCGAACGTATCCCCATCCCTAAGATGGGCGAGCAAAAAGCGAGGACAATCTTAGGGATAGGCCCTCAGAAACTGAGGGAATCCTTAAGATCGGCATCGAGGCGAGGTGATGTCAAACATAGGGATAGGGATATGTTTCAAACTGGTAATGAACTGGTTTGGACCCCAGGGAGTCGGTCAGAAGGGGGGATGAGGCCCAGTCCGCTCAAAGCAGGTTCCTGGACCGCCCCTGGGGTCCATCTGGTGCCATGTCTCGCCCCAGATCCATTCCTGCTTTGACGGTCGCGGGGCCCGAAAACGGCCCCGCCCCTGGAAGGCGAAAAATACTAAAAACCTGATCGAACCTAGCACATCGAATCTCCTCCCTCCCTTCTTGCTCGCCGGAGCCAGTGCTGGGCTTCATCTGACACCCAGCCGGCTCCAAGCCCAGACCCCCACCTTCAGTGACATCGGCGGATGATGTCTGGCCATTTCTGCCCTCCAGGGGTCATTGTCGGGCCCCGGGAGTGGTGCTCGGGATGGAAGACCGGTCCAGTGCAGCGGTTCCCGCCCTCTGAGACGTTTGTAGGAGAACAAAAAACTACGTGGAAGGTCTGGAGACCTCCAGCGTCCAAAAAAACAAAACAACGCGGCGGGCACTTCTGAGTCTAGGCCTCCGAGGGCCAGTTCGGCCAGTCGGGCTCAGGGAAATCCTCATATGCGCATCTGAGTTCCTGGCACTGTCTGTGAGTGCATGAGTGAAAGAACATGAGCCTGTGGCGACTGAGCGTTCCCTGGCGGATCCCCCTTGAAGTGGCCAAAAGCTTGGCGACTCTGACAGGAGAGGGGTCGGGGGTGCGTAAAACCAGCTTTTCGCCTGAGAAGTCCCACGATGCGGGCGCGAACTGGAAAGTGTAATATCCCTTGGCGGATCCCCCTTGAGGTGCGCGACTGTGATGCATGCTACATCGCGGTGGTCATGAGGCTCTGAACGTAGTCGGGGGGACCAGAACCAGAGAAACGCTCGAGGCATACCCACAATCCAAATGCGAATGGGCAAGTCTAACACCTCCTGGCGGCTCCTCCTTGGGATGCACACACGCCAACCCTGCCATATGTCGGACATCAAAGAGCTCAAACGCGCGCCTCGCTCGAGACATATCCAAAATATGCGCGAGCGGACAAGTGTAATACCACCCCCTAGCGGTGAGGCTTTCGAAAGAGGCGAGTCTGATCTGCCAGTCGAGCGAAGCGCCACAGATATCAGCATAGTTAAGCTGCCCAAGAACGGACAATGCCCCCGCCCCCTGCTGCTCCTCATTTGGGTGCCGAAATGCCACACCTGCTATGTCGCGAGGAGACGGGGTTCTCACAAGGCTCGCACGAGGCCACGCCTACCACTCCACGAGGCTATCACAAGAGAAATGTCCAAACGGAAGAACGGCGTGAGACATCCCCACCATCAGGGCGCGAACGGGCGCCCTACACCATGGCGGCCTCTCCTTGGGGAGCTCAACTGCCACGCCTGGAAATGTCGAGGTGGCTGTGTGGCTCTCCAGGGGCGAGTGTCCTACCCCCTGGCGGCTGCGCCATGAAGTGCCCAAAATGCCAAGCCTGCTGCGTGGCGGGGAGCCCAAGATCGGCATAAACGCATTAAGGTATGAGAGAGTCTGGATGTGAGCATGCCAATGCGTGTGAGCACGCCAGTGCGTGTGAATCTGAATATGAGTGGATCTAAGCCTGAGGGATCTGAGAGGGAAAAGGCGGGAGCAGCCGGAGGTGGAGGCACCACACGAATTACTCGACGCGGAGATCCCCGTGTGTGCAGATCATGCTCTGGTACTTCCCGCTGTGGTAATGTCTGGCTTTGAGCGTCTGCGTGCGAGAGAAAATCCAAGTGGACGACGGATACGATAACAACGACGACGACGACAACGGCGGCGGCGGCGATGAGGGACAACGACGACAACGACGACAACTCGGCGGTGAGCAGGTCCCTCCCCTCTCCTTCCTCTCCCCCCTCGTCGTACCGCCTCCCTCCTCGCCCTCATCCTGCGCCCGCCTCCTTCCGCATCCGCTCTCCCTCGTCCTCCCTGGCGGCCGTCTCGCTCCTCCTGACTCCACGCACCGCTCCCGGCATTCCCACGACCTGGTCGCAAAACAGGCAGGTGTGCCCCTCGATGACGGCTCCCGGATCGCATTGCCGTTATGGCACGGCCATCATATCGCGGCGACCCTGGGGCCCTGAAGAGGTCCTCCCCGGGATATTCGAGTGCCACGCCTCCTGTATCGCAGCGGTCACGGGGGCTCTCAAAAGAGAGGGGTCGGGGGCGCCAAAGCAGGCAAAGCGTCCGAGGCATCCCCACGAGCTGGGCGCGAACAGGGCAGGCGTCCCCCTTACCCGGCGGCTCCCCCCTGCGGGGCCCAAAAGAGGCCACGCCTGCAACATCGGCGTGGCCATGGGGCTCTCAAGCGAGAGAAGTCAAGGGGGGCGCCGACCCGGGCAAGCCGCCCGAGTCATCCCCACAGTCGGGGCGCGAACGGACCAGCGTCCTACCCCCCTGGCGGCTCCTCCTGAGGGTGCCCACCTGCCACGCCTGCTGTGTCGCGGTGGTCATGGGGTTCTCATGTCGGAGTGTCGCAAAGGACAAACTGCCTCAGACATCCCCACAGTCGGGGCGCGAACGAGCAAGTGTCCCCCATCCTTGGCGGCTCCTCCTTGCAGGGCCATCATGCCACGCCTGCTGTATCACGGTGGTCAGGGGGCCCTCAAGTGAGAGGAGTCGGGGGTGGGCCAGAACAGGCAAACCATCTAAAGCATCCCCACAACCGAGGCGCGAACGGACCAGCGTCCTACCCCCCTGGCGGCTCCTCCCTAGGGCGCCCACATGCCACGCCTGCTATATCGCGGTGGTCATGGGGTTCTCATTTGTGGGCGCCGACTCGGGCAAATCACCGTAAACATCCCCACTATCGGAACTCGAACGCGCAAGGGGTCCCCTCCTTGGCAGATCCCCCTTGGGGTGCCCACACGCTACGCCTGCTGTATCGCCATGATCAGTGGGACCTTAAGTGAAGGGAGTCGAGGGCGCCGAAACAGGCAAACCGCATAAGACTGAAGGGGTCCCAGGACACACACACACACACACACACACACACACACACACACACATAAATACACACAAATAATAAGATTCCCCATAGTTTCCCATTTTTTGTGGGGTTTTCGTCTTCCCCCCCACTTCCCATATTTTCCCATATTTCTGGGGAACCAACGATGAATTGTGTCTGTGTGTTTTTCCCCCTCCTGAAAGACGTCCCCACGATCGGGGCGCGAACGAGCACGGGCCCCCACTCCTTGGCGGCTCCTCCCGAGGGTGCCCACCTGCCACGCCTGCCACATCGCGGTGGGCATGCGGCTCTCAAGCGTGAGGGGTCGGGGGCGCCGGGCCAGGCAAACCACCTGAAGCATCCTCGCAGTCTGGGCGCGCACGGCTCCTGCTTGGGCGGCCCAAGTGCCTCGCCTGCTACGTCGGGTGTGCGCCAGTCTGAGCGTGAGTGAGGCCGAGCGTGACCGAATATGTGCGAGCGTGGTCTGATTATGACTTGCTCATGATGTTGGTGTGAGGCTGCGAATGTGTCTGAGTGTGAGTTAGTCTGTGTGATCGAGTCTGATAGTCAGTGAACATGAGTATGAGCGATTCTGAGCATATCTAAACTGAATGTGAGTGTGAATCAGTGTGTACGCGAATGCGAGTGGACTGTGTGAGCGCATATGAGCGTGAGTGGTCTGAATGCACGCGAATCTGAGTGTGGGTGAGTCTGAATAGAGTGAACCTTAGTGTGGGCGAGTCTGAGTGCGAGTGAGTCTGAGTATGCGTGAATATGAGTGCGAATGGGTCTGAGTATGAGTGAGTCTGAGTATGAGTCGGTCTGAGTATGATTGTCAGCGGGTGTCTGAGTACGAGGAGGGCGGAGGCGAGAAGGCGGGAGGCAGGCGCGACACTAATAACAAGACCCAATCTGAGGATACGACGAATAAAAAAGAATCCCATAGTTAGGGGAGAAGGAGGGATCCGGAGGCCCAAGCATTGAACAGACGCATGGGCGGTGGAGGTCTGGGTCCCCGCGACCCGCGCGATCCTCCCTGCACAGCGCTTCAGTGCGCTGAGATCCGCAAAATGTTCCTGCACGCTCGTGCGCTGTCCCTTGCGTTTCCCTCGCCCATCCCCTCCTATTCCGCGCTCGATTCCCATCCCGTCCTCCTGTCCTGCCCCCCGTCCCTTTCGGCATATCTTATCTGTGTCAGCATGCACTAGGCTCTCGTTGCCAGCGGACCCTTCGACTCGCAAAAAGCCTGGCGGGGACCCCGTCTTCGACGTCCTAGACTGCCATCTCGCGTGAACGACTACAGCCCCAGCCCGCTCTCAACACGTTGCAAGGAGGAGGTAAACGAGCAGGAGAAGCGGGCGGGCGGAGGCGCTGGCTGCGCTTCCGAATAATGCCCTCCATCACGATATAATTGAAGGTCTCCCGGTCGAGCTCCCACACGACCGAGGCCTGCACAGAGGGGCGGGGGGAACCGACGCCGTCGACGGCGAGGCAGGCAACAGCGACGGCGACGGCGACGGCCTCACAGGCCCTGGCTCTAGCAGGAGCGCCGGCGGCGATGAAGGAACGGGGCGGCCCGCGAGGCGCGACCTCCGCTGACAGGCCCCAGCTGGATCGCATCGCGAAATTGGATCGGACCGTAAACGGATCGGATCGCCAGCGAGCCATCCGGGATCGAAGAAAAATCGGAGCGCCACGGCCACGACACCTTCGACGCCCCTCCCCAAGAGAAAGGCTCTCCCAAAAGTCTTCCTACTTTCGCGCAACGTCTACCAGGTGTCTCCTAATGAGTGTCGTTTATCCGATCCCCATGCGCAGCGGCGTGGCCTGGGCCCCACTGGCCGATTTACCCCCCTCACCGGGGATATGGGCCGCGTATTTCGGGTTTCGAGGGGTGCATCCCCAACTGGGGGGGTAATCTAGTGCGGGTCTCGAAGGGGATGGGAATGAGGAGCGGAGCCGCGAGGAGGAGACACCAAAGTGCACCCCAAAACGCCAGAACACTTCCGAAACTAACGCCCAGGAGAGAAGGAGGAGGAGGAGGAGGAGGAGGAGGAGAAAGAGGAGGAGGAGGAGGAGGAGGAGGAGGAGGAGGAGGAGGAGGAGGAGGAGGAGGAGGAGGAGGAGAGGAGGAAGGGGCGGGCCGACTCAGAAGGGGGGGGAGGAGGAGGGGGGAGAGGAGGAGGGGGGGGAGGAGGAGGAGGAGGAGGAAGGAGGAGGAGGAGAGGCGGAGGAGGAGGAGGAGGGGGAGGAGGAGGAGGAGGAGGAGGAGGAGGAGGAAGTCCCCCGGCCTTCTGAGGAAGTCTTCTAGGCCTTCCCCGAGGACGCAGGAAACCTCTCAGAAGGCCGGAGGGCTTCTGAGAATCCCCGCCGCTTTCTGAGAAGGCCTTCTCCATCTCATCGGGTCGACTCAGAAGGCTCGGATTTATATGTTTTGAATGCTGGCTCGAGTTTTACCAAATGATTTATCTTGTTACTTTGAACAAATGGATTCCTAACAATATGATAGAATGAACGAGGCCTCACGCAGATCGGCGGGGTCAGGGTCCAAAAACACAAGGGATTTACCGCATTTCTGAAATTCGGTGGCGCCCTCACGCAGATCGGCGGGGTCAGGCTCCAAAAACACAAGGGACTTGCCACATTTCTAAAACATCCTGTCGCCCCTCACGCAGATCGGCGGGGTCAGGGTCCAAAAACATTAGGAATTTGCCACATTTCTGAAATTCGGTAGCACACCTCACGCAGATCGGCGGGGTCAGGATCCAAAAATACACTGGATTTTCCGCATTTTTGAAATTCGGTGGCACCCCTCACGCAGATCGGCGGGGTCTGGGTCCAAAAACATTAAGAATTTGCAACATTTCTGAAATTCGGTGGTACCCCCCTCGCAGATCGGCGGGGCAGGGTCCAAATTCACACTAGATGTTCCGCATGTTTTGTAAATTCGGTGGCACACCTCACGCAGATCCGTAGGGTCAGGGTCCAAAAACACAAGGGATTTGCCACATGTCTGAAATTCGGCGGCACCCCTCACGCAGATCGGCATGGTCAGGGTCGAAAAACAAACAGGTCCCAACACTGCTTCACGGCGAGGCCAAAGCCTCATGACTTCGCTCTTCCATGGCCCATTATCCGAGAGAGGGGGCCGGCGGCAGGGGGCGAAGCCCTGACGGATATATGGGTACATATATATATATATATATATATATAAAGCCTCATGACTTCGCTCTTCCATGGCCCATTATCCGAGAGAGGGGGCCGGCGGCAGGGGGCGAAGCCCTGACGGATATATGGGTACATAGATATATATATAGATATATATATATATATATATTTATAAATATATAATGCTCGCACCCCCCCCCCCACCCCCCCCTCCCCCCCCCCAGCGACCCCCCAAAACGCCCAAAACACGAAGCCGCGGTCTTGAGATGCTGGCACCGAACAGCCGCAGACACATGGTCTGTCACAGCGGGCTGTGACCCGAGAAGTATTCCTCCTCATCTTACTCTCCCTCATCCTCCCCCTCCTCTTCCATCTCCCCCCTCGCCTCCTGCTTCTCCTGTTACTCGCCCTCCTCCTCCCTCCTCCCTCGTCCTCCACCTTCTGTTCTTCCACCTGGTCCTCTCCCTGTTGGAGAACTCAACTTTGGCCTGCCATCCAGGCTGACGAACTCATCCGCTCGGCCCATCCGTCACGGGCACCGTGCGCGCAAGCATATCGGTTTCGGCCGAGGCCACGAAACACTGTGTATCACAAGTTCTTCTGGTTTTTCTGGTCTGGGAACCAACGAAACACTGCGCATCACTGGTTTTTCTGGTTTTCTGGTTTCTGGAGCTGAAATGCTCGCCGCGGCCTCGCCCCACCGCTCCCCCCCC